GGGCGCGCGCGTCGCGCTCGCTGCCTCGCGCCTTTCGCGCGCTGCTGGGGTCGGACGCTCCCGGGAGAAAGGGGGCTGCCAGGTGAGGGAGCGAACCCCGAGATTCACAGCCCTGGGAGGACGAGGCCGTTCTGTGCTGGGCCCGGGAGGGAGGTGTAGCTCTCCGCCATCCCTCCCCCGAGTCAAAAGTTTTTCCAGACGGCGACCTCAGAAGTCTCCGAGCGCTGACAGAAGCTGATGCTGACAGCGTCTGTGGAGGGGGCGCTTTTTCCGCCCTGCGTGCTCGCCTCGCAGGTGAAGGGGTACAGCGGGCGGAACACTCGGAAAACACCCTAAGATTGGGTGCCCTCTCCGCGCCGGGTCCCCCGCGGGCGCCGCCTTCCCGCGCGCTGCCCGGGTTGTGCCTGTGTCCTGACGACTCGGGGTGCCGCTCAGTGTCCCCCCCCGGACGTGCAGTCGTCCCTGCGCTGGCCCCATGGACAGACCCCTTCCCCGGCGGCCCCTGGCGAGTCAGTCTGTCCCGTGAGCAGGAGCAGCGCTTCGTCCCGAGCGAGCGGCTGAGAGGAGCGGGAGCTGCTGTTTTTGTTTTATTCCTGATTTTTTTTTTTCTTCCATCGTTATCGTCCCCAGATTCCTGCCACCATTTCCTGAGCAGGCTTTTGAAAAGTCGCAGTTCCCTGCGAGGGGTGACTGGCCACGGCCACCCCGGCCACTGGAGGGTCAGCAACATTTTGCAGTATTTAGTCTGCAGTATTTACGCGACAGCGATGCGCACGGCGGGAACTGAGTCCCCTGGAAGTGCCTGTCCCTGGTCCCCATCCACCCGCGGGGTTCTGGCTGGTTTAGGGCACTAATGTCCCCACTCCCCGGTCTCCACGCCACGGTCAGATTGCTCCCTCCCGACACAGTCACCCCGTCTTTTTCTGATCGCTGCTCCTTTGTATAAATGTTCGATTCTATATAACTAGAGCTCAGTGGGAACCTAATGATTGCTGGCACGAACTGAACAAATTCTGGAAGGAGACAAATGTAGCCATGAACTGACTGGGAGGATTTTACCTGCAGGGGGGGGTGTGTAGGGGGGGGAAGTACTGGAAAGCAAGGTGAAGTCTGCCTTTTTCTGTCGACATTCAGAATCCAGGTTTCCCAGGTATCGACTAAAGGCTGAGGATGAGCCCATAAAAATTTCTCAGTACATATTACTTTTAGTTGATTAATGTTTTATCTTAAGCACTTTTAATTTTTAAGATAACATATTCATGAACGTGAAAATACTTTCTAAACAGTGACGTATTAATTGCACTTAACATGCCTTCAGTTCCTCCTAGCAGGAATTCCAGTGCTTGTGGGTTTTGTGCAGGCAGTCACTAAATATATTTTGTTTTCAGTTCCTAAGTGTCCATGCAGCCAAAATTCAAAAGTTTGTGATACCTTGATGTTGCTAAAATGTATGCTTCAGAACGTCACCCAGAGAACCAAGAAATTTCAATGATTTTACTATGCTCAAAAGGTTGGACTGGGGGTTGGCGATCACAGAATAACTGGATTTCATTATTGAATAATAGAATTTAACATGTAATTATTTAACAAATAAACAGTTAGATATATAGTACATATGTACTACTCAAAAGACATGAAAATGATCTCCCATAAAAATCTCCTTCATGGTAGTTAACATTTAGATATTTGTATTTAGCTTTTAGTATTAGTCTTTTTCTTATAAATTTAATTAGAAGGAAAGAGAGACATGAGACAGTCTACTCTGGAATTCTAGTTCCATCACATAGTGGCCATATAAGCAGAAATAAGTGTAATTTTCCTGTGCCTTCTTACCCTCACATAATGATGCGAATAATAAGTCTTACTTCAGCGATTTTTTAAAAATAGTATAACAGTTTATTTTTACATCATTTTGTACATTTTTTTTTTTCATCTCAGTTGTAATCCTCATGGGCTTCCCATCACTGAGTCACCCATATGCCATCACCATAGTCCCGTGCACTTCCCTACCTTATTTCAGTGATTGTTGGGAGGATGAAATAAGGTCAGCATAGCCTCCCGGGGGGGGGGGGGAGTGCCTTTTTTTTTGAGAAATCAAGATTTTCCAAATGAAAATAAGTTCTTGGTTATATAAGTAAACTTGTCAGACTTGATCTGTGTGCTTCTGAAGTTGTCAAATCACGTCAAATTGAATGTGGCAAACTGAACAAATGTGTGCAGCACCACCCACGGAGAATTAAGGCGAAGGCTCCAGAATGATAATAACAACAGTCACCTGTCACCCAGCTTGTTTTCCTTTTCCTTGATGGATGGTAAATTTCCACTGATCATGACCTTTATTGGAAAGAAAGACACTGAGATTTCCTAGCAGACGTAACCTTTTCTGTCATTATTTCTAGGCCATCATGCAAAGTTTTCTTTGCGGCAGATCCCATCAAAATAGTGAGCGCGCAGCGGCAGTACATGTTCGATGAGAAAGGTGATCGGTACTTGGACTGCATCAACAATGTGGCCCACGGTGAGTAGCTTGGCCTTGTGCCTTGAAGAGAGTGTATGGAGCCAGCAGGCTGGCACCACAGACATTTATCCCAGGAAGGGATTTGGCTGCAGTACCTTTGCTCTGTGAGGCCACACCTCACAGGGAAAAGTTGGAGCAAGAAATGAGAGGAACTTTTTTTCTTGCTTCCGAATCCCTCTCACTTGCCAGGCCTTTAGAATTGGAACTCATTTCTGGGGTTTTTGTCTTCTAAATTTTAGTGGGACACTGTCACCCAGAAGTGGTCAAAGCTGCCTTCAAGCAGATGGAACTGCTAAATACAAATTCTCGATTCCTCCACGACAACATGGTCGAATATGCCAAGCGCCTTTCAGCAACCCTGCCGGAGAAACTCTCTGTTTTCTATTTTACAAATTCTGGGTATGTTTCCGGGTGTCCTTCCTCTCCCTGTGGCCACGAATCTCTGTATTTGTCACACATACCTTTATTTCCCATTAGTGAAGGAGTGCGACATCCATTCTTGCCATTTACCAAGTGACCACATGGGGGGACCTGAGTCGTGGTGTTTTTGCTTCTCTTCATGAGCCTGTTAGATAAGACAGGATATGAAGAGCAGGTGTCAGGATTACCAGCACGGCCTGTATCAGCTGTGCCATGGTTAGGATGTGAAGCCACTCCAAACTTCAGCACCATGACTCCTGGAGAAGAGTGTGCCCTCAGGTGTCCCTAAAGAATCAATACTTACAGGTCATAACCATGGCAGACATACTCAAGTCCAGGATTTCTGAGAAAAACCTAACCAGTCCATGGGTAAAGTAAAGTAACTACATGCTCAGTGAACTGAGATACCTCAATCAGGGCATAAATGAGGAATTTTAGCAAAGAAAGAACTCTGTTAAATAAGGTGTAATTTTTGTAGGATGTTTGAGTGACTTGTTTTCTTAGGTAATTGAATGTCTTTCCCCCAAACAAATAGAAAATGTTCCAAATTTATATTCTGTAAGTTCAAAGTGTTATATGCCAGTCTTATGGAATATTACCCAGACAGTTAAAGTTATATTTCTGAACATATATGCAAATGATATATAAAAAGCTTACAATGCATTGTTATATTGGAAGGTAACCTGAATATGCAGGATAAACTCAGGTATATATTTATATGTATTAGCTAGTAGGAATTCAGAAAGTGTTTGAAATATGCTGTGACCCACTTTTCTCTAGTCAGTATTACATTTCAAAAGCGCAAAGAATAATCTTGAACTTAAACTGGCTTCAGTCCAAATGCTGGCTCCACCTCTTCTGAAGTGAGAATTTGTTCCAGTTACTTACCCTGCCTGAGGCTTTTTCCTTGTCCCTGTAAAGGAGATGGCAGTCTCTGCCTTGCAGAGTAATTATGTGAACAAATACAGTATAACACTTGGCATAGATCATGGCACAAATAAAATACACTGAGTAGTATATTTAGTCTCTGAACCAGACAGAAAAAATACAATCTTCACTTTGTAGATAAGGACTTACCAAATAATGAACAAATACAATAGTAGCCAGCGAATAGTTCCTCACAGGCCTACTGAGATTGAGCCTGTTGCAGGCTTCTCAGCTAACTTCTTTTTCCAAGTTAGCTGGCTGCGGATAGGACAGGGCTCCACTGGGATGTGAACAGCACAGCCTTTCTTTGTATGGGATGTCTCTGCATCTCCTTTGCTGAAGGCATCGGGTGAACTAGTATTAGAAGGATGGATTGATATTTACGGGTCAAGATTGAAGGGGCAGAGAGGACTTCAGATTCTTCCTTTATACATTTCTGAATAATTAGTCATAGCACTTTTGTAATTAACATTTTGAATAATTTTTAAAAGTGTTTCAGCCATATTGTCCCCTCTCTCTATTGTCTTAATAGATCTGAAGCCAATGACTTGGCGTTACGACTGGCTCGACACTTCAGAGGCCACCAAGATGTGATTACCCTTGACCAGTAAGTCCTGGAAACAAGACTTCTAAGAAGGTCCCTCTGAGACAAGATAGCAGTGACTGGTCCCATCTATTTAATACCATGAGTGTGGATGGAGGAGGGGAGAGATGGCACTGTGGCTTTTATGTATGGGGGAGTCAACGCAGGCTTAGGCCTGGAGGATTCTGAATTCCTTCCCATTATTCATTGTTCACTGCTGCTGCAGCAGCTATGTGTGACTCAGGCTAACTCTTCACACAGTTTTTTTATTTACTGAACTCCCATAATAGATGAATAACTATTTTTTTTTAAAACATAACCAATATGCTAAAAGACCAGGCTTTCATTTCACTTTTGGGATTACCTACTCTAATTAACTTGAAAGGTAACAACTAGGGTACTTTCTCAGCATGTGACAGTCAAATTTCCTTTGACAAATTTATTGCATCTTACACATGAAATCTACAACTTTTATCTTTACTAAAATTCTTTCACTTGCCTTTTTTTCTGCCTACCTCTTCATCCCACTAGTCTCAAACACAGAGTGTTGAATTGAACATGTGTTGGTTGGTATCTTTGCTTTCTCTTGCTGTAAACAATTACTATATGTGACTTGAGCCACACACAACTGTCCTACAGTTCTGGGGGTCAGAAATCTAAAATGGGTCTCATGGAGCAAAAATCAATGTGTCAACAGGACTGAACTCCTTGTGGAGACATGACAGAGAGAATCTGTTTCCTTGCCTTGTCCCATCCTAGTTCCTTGGCTCTCTCCTATATCTTGAGAGCCAGCCTGTTTCATACTTCTGCCTCTTTTTCCATCATCTTGTGGCTTCTGTGTCTCTGACCACTATCCCCCTGCCAGCTGCTTTCACTTGCAAAGACCCTTGTGATTCCTTTGTACCTTTCAGGATTATCTTTCCATCTCCTTAAAGCATGTGTAATTTGACCATTACACCATAGTCCTTTTTGCTGCACGACACATTCTTAGGCTCCAAAGACTAGGTGGTGGGCAGCTGGAGTGAGGTGGCATTATTTTGCTGTCCACAATTGATTTTTTTTTTAAAGATTTGTTTACTTATGCATATAGAGCTGGGGTACAGGCCAGAGGTGCAGGGGTGAAAGGATCCACCAGAGACAGAGTGGGGAGCAGAACAGGCAGATCTACTGAAATACACTGCTGAGGGGAGCAGTGGGCGGGTTAGGAGAGGTCTGCTGTGCCATGTGGGTCATCTCCCTAACCAGGAATCAAACTTGTGCAGCAGTGGCTGCAATAGCTTTATAGTGCTGCACTTTAACCCATTGCACACCAGGGAAGGACCTTTTTTATTCTTATTCTCATTCTCCCTCCCCTATTAACTCTTCTAATGAATTTCTGTTATTTTTGTATTCTTGAAAAATGTGTACTATTTATGTGCATCTATTTTAATTTTTACAAAAACAACTATAGATCTCTTTCTGTTTCTGACTTCTTTCCCTCAGCACTGTTTCAAGACGGTATTGCTGGGTGTACCTTTATTCTTCTAACTCAGCACTGTCCGATACAAATATAATGTGGAATTTCAATATAATGTGGAGTTTAAATTGTTCTGGGCATCCCATTGGCCAACATGTCATTTCAACATGCAGTCAATCTAAAAGCTTTTTGTATTTTCTTTCTTTCTTTGTATTAAGTCTTCACAATCAGTAAGAGTATACATTAACAACACACTCGTTCCAACTCCTGCATTTCAAATGCTCAGTAGTTTCATGAGCAGCAGTGTGGCTTGAGCTCAACCATATGGTCCCCACCACCACCCCCATGAATACTGGAGGCTTGCCCTTGACTCCCAGCTACATAAGCAGTGCTGCCGCTAGCATCTGTGAAGAGCATGCCCTTGTGACTTTTCTGAGAATTTTTTAGAGGAAAATACCCAGAAACAGGATTTCTAATAGGGGCACAGATATTGCTAATATGCCAAAATACTTACAGCTCCCGGGTGGAAGAAAGACTCTACAACAGGGACTAGAATTTCCCATTCTGCTATGTTTTCAGCAAAACCTAATAGTACCCTGCCTTCTGCTTTTTCTTTATTAGGTATAAAAAGATACTAGTGGTTTAATTCAGTTACCTGTTCATGAATCTTTCTCTTTATATGTTTGTTATACATTTGTGATTTCTGAGAATTACCTGCTCATTTACTTTGTCCCTTTTTCTATGTAATTTGACAGAACAAACTTTCAGACAGTCTTACATACTTCTATTACATTCCCTCCTTTTTCTGTTGGTTAGTATTTACTTACAGACTCTTACATCAGAGGATCTCAACTTTGATTGGACTTCATAATTATCTGGAGAAGTGTTTTTCAAATGCCAGTGCCCAGGCCCCACCCAGAGCAATTAAAGAGAATCTCTGAGGTGGACTCCAGGTGTTTTAAATTTCCCCCTGTGCCTACTATTTGGACAGAGTTGAGAACCACCACTTTTGGCACTCACCCCTTTTATCATGTCTCTCTTACCTTTGTCCATGCTACCCTTAAATGCTAATCTTTAATTGTGATCAAATCAAATAGATAAAATTTTACCTGATGGTTTGTTTTCTAAGTTGTAGCCCTCTTCCCCTGCCCTCACCCCCACTTACTCTACTCCCAAATCACAAAGTTGTTGTTTTCTTCTGCTACCTTTATAATTTACTTAGTTGGACCCTATCAGCATATGCTGTGGTACATCATACATGTTGATGTGTCTCTGAGCTCACCTTCTGCCTCAGCGGTCTCTGTTCTTATTCTTGTAGCAAAACAAAACATAACTTCATAATCTGTAGTGGAGGAAATGCTCCCTCTTTGCTGTATTCATGAACTTTTTGTACTTTTCCAGATCTCCCAGTTATATCTCTGGCAAAAGATAGAGCAGGAACTATCATAACTGCCTATATTTTAAGTGAGAGGAAGCAGTTTCATAGTCATTGGTCACATCTCAATCTTAGTTCTCAGACACAGCTCCTCTTCCTTGCCAACTAGTATTTGCCCAGTCGGTGCAACTGGACATGCTTTAGAAGCCATCTCAATCAGAAACTCACTCATCGTAGGATATAAAGTTTTAAAAATGTGCTACAATATATCAAAAGTATTTAAAGAATAGGGGTACAACATAGGAGTCATTCCTGAAAGAACAGAATTTTTCATACTTAAGTAATCTGACTTATCTGTGCTAATAATCAGAAGAATTGCTTACCCACTTAATTATCTCTGAGTATACATACTTGGTTTTATTACATGAAGGAGAACTGAACAAATTAAATAGCCTGTGTTCCCATGAACCATTAGACCCTAGATACTTAAATCTGGACCAATGCTGTGATCCTGTTTGGATAATGCACAATTTTGGTTTTCATTTTCTGGTAAAACATCCTGTTTTGAGTGATTTTTGTTACTGTCCTTTTTCTTTTCAGTGCTTACCATGGCCACCTGACATCGCTAATTGAGATTAGTCCTTATAAGTTTCGAAAGGGCAAAAATGACAAGAAAGAATTTGTGCATGTGGTAAGTAACCTAGAAGCCTAGCAGAAGAATATTAGCATTGGAAACATGCTCTACGATGACCCAGTCCAATTCTTTCACTAAATGCAACCAGGGAAAGGAACTGAGCTTTAGAGCAGATACATGACCTGTTAAAGTTGAAGAGCAGATCATAACAGGATGAGGTTTCAAACCCATTCATGAGGAACATAGTAGGCAAATTAGTACTGCAGTTGTGACCTGTAATTTATCACGATTGCTTTACTTTTCTTGCCTACTGGCCTTCGGTTACTTTTTCTATCACTGATGCCAACTTGAAATTCAGAGTTGACTCAAGTCTGTGTGACTGAAAATTTGCTCTGCCAATTAACATCAATCTTTTAAGTAAAAAGAAATCAATCAAGGGCTGAAACAGTGACTTTCACTCAGTGTGTTCCTGTTCGTTAAGGATTAGTGGACTTTCTTCAGAGCACCATCAATAAGTCCTTTAACGCTTTTGAGTTGGATCAGGGCTAAGGTACTCTAGTTTTCTGATACAACTGGCAACATAGATGGTGATTGTCCATTTTATTTCTGATATAGAATCATCAGCGTGTTTTTTCTACATTGAAATTTTCAAATAATAAAATCACACTTGTTGATCTGAATTTCTCTTTTTGTGAATGGAGATGAAGTCTTGATTTGCAAGACTCTGGGAGTAAATCCAAGTTCCTGTTCACAGTGTGAAGCTTTCAGTAATCACAGAATTTATAAAGTTAAGAACAAAGAACAAAAGAAAGTAGAGTTGCTTAAATCCACGTGATCACCTTTTTCATACTCTTTTGTGTGGAAAAGCCCTTTATAAAAGTTCCTTTATCAAAGAGGCCAATCCGAACACACTGTCATTTGATGTTTTCAGGCACCGACTCCAGATACTTACAGAGGAAAATACAAAGAAGACCATGAAGACCCAGCCAGCGCTTATGCAGATGAAGTAAAGAAAATTATTGAAGATGCTCATAAAAGTGGGAGGAAGGTTTGTATTTATACTGGAAATATTTTAGCAGCTGTTGTAAAAAGCATTGAAACCTTTAGAGAGGTAGTAACATTCCACCTAAAATCCCGGTTTGTTCCTCTCTGGTTACATTCCACTTTGTTCATATTTCAAAAGTGAATTATTTATAACTATCAATTATAAAACTATTTTTATTTATCCTGGAAATGCAATCACAATCCACCTTCTAGAACTGGTGGCCTAGTTCTGACCTTCCCGGTGGGATGCAGACTCTGATCCGAAGGGGTCAAGCAAAGAAGTCCAGGAACAGACTATTCCAACTGAGAATAGCTGAGAGGGGCTAATGTGAGGTGAACGGAAAAGAAGAGGCCACGTGGCTCTTCCGCCTTAGTCCCACTGCACACTGCCAGGTCCACAAGGAGCCCTTAAACTTCCCTGGAATCACAGAGCCCCCAGAGATGGTCTGGCCAGAGTAAGTCAAGGCAGAAAGATGTCCTTCCGATCTGGACCTGGATTTTTAAGATAGATCTGAATCTTCCAGAATAGGGAAAAAGTTCACTTTCTCAGCCGTGTTCCTGCTGTCTTCAGGTTATGCTAAGTTCTCAGCACACATGGGGGTTTCTCATGTAGCACTTGAGTGCGGTTTGACCCCACCTTTTCTTCCAGCTGGCTTATGGTATAGACATGGCAATGAAAAAAATCTTAACTGACATAAAAATGAAGCCTGGGCTTTTTTCAATTCAAATATTTTTTTCCTCATGACTGAAGAATCATTTGCCCTTTTCAACTGTTTTTTTCTTCTTGCTCTCATATCTTCTGATGGGATCTAGTGCTCTTCTTACCCTTTTCCTCTCAAAGGCAGCCTATACCTCTACACAAACTGCTTCCAGTAGTTTACTGAGACCCTACGGTCTTTCTGCTACTGACAAATTTGGATAGTTCTCGGGAAAATTAGCTGGCAACAGTTACTGAACAGAGGCTGTCACGTCAGTAATACTGAAAGCAGTGAGCACATCCATGTAATTATGGGTGCATCATAACTGTACAGAAGAAATATTTTGAATTAATGGCCTCATTTTTTATAGCCAATAAATGAGATACTTTAAAATGAATAACTTAAGTTGAGGTGATACAGTCATTAAGGGGTAGACTGGACTGGAACCTTGGTTCTCTTAACTATCTCATAGTCTATGCTCTGTCTTCATTCTTTGTTGTTATTTTTTACCTCTTCTTTTTCCACTTCTGGAACAGTTCTTCCTGTTGTGAATTGACTAATTCTAGTTCTATTCTGGCTCAGGGTCAGAACTAGAAATATAGCACAGTAACCCAAGTGTGTGGAAGGAGTTCCCTCCCCACTTAAGTGCAGATCCCAATTTCGGGCAGCCCTGTTTCACCAGCCTGGGGAAATCAGCCCTAAAGCTCATATCAAAGACTGATCAGAACATCAATCTTAGTGGATCTCAGTGGTGCTGTGATAACAGCATTTAAATGAATGAGCTGGAAGACATCTCCATTTCTCATGGCAGTTGCCCAACAATTCAGTAACCAGCACTCATCCCAGCTGCTGTTTCAACATGGACATCTTTTATTGATCTAACACAGTGGCCTCTCTGTCACTTGTCACCAGTCCACTTCATTTCTAGAATAACCTGCTCTATAGAAACCCTCTTTTCTAGGAGGTATGAGAGGGTCCTAATGGACTTTGACTCCATCTTCTCTTGTATAGATCGCTGCTTTTATTGCTGAATCCATGCAGAGTTGTGGCGGACAAGTAATTCCTCCAGCAGGCTACTTCCAGAAAGTGGCAGAGTATGTACTGGACTTGGGCATCCTTGGTGAAACTGAGGGTACCTTGACAACCATACTGGTTGTGATGTTGACGTGCTTCCAGGCTGGCTAGGAAATAGCCACTTTTGAGTGCCCACCACCCACGACTCCTAGACCTCCTCCACTTCCCAAGGTCCAGCAAACAAAGGGGTAATGCGCAGTCCAGTCGTGGGGCCCCTGCCTCCAGGGCTCTGTAGCAGTCAACCCCAGTCTTTCTGATTAACAGTGTCCAGGCTTTTCTGATTAGTAAAAATTTTGAAGATTAACCTGGCTGAAAACTACTTCATGTTCATTTCGTTCTTCCCTAAAATACTGTAAAATACTCTAAAATACTGTAAAATAAGCATTGCTTATTTTAAGGAGCACAAACCCAGATAATGTAGAATATGTCATGGGCATATTCGGTGATTATATTTCAACCACATAGATATCATGGGGTGGAGCAGAAGTACTGAAGTATTATAGTTCAGGACATTTTTTAGGTTCTCAACCATCTATATTGCTGGTGGGTGGGCTTGGGGGTGCTCTGTGAGCTGAAGGCAATAATTGTCCTCTTGCTTTACAGATATGTACGTGGAGCAGGGGGAGTTTTCATAGCTGATGAAGTTCAGGTGGGCTTCGGCCGAGTTGGAAAACACTTCTGGAGCTTCCAAATGCATGGTGAAGACTTTGTTCCGGACATTGTCACGATGGGGAAGCCAATGGGCAATGGCCACCCCATGGCCTGCGTGGTGACAACCACAGAAATCGCAGAAGCCTTCAGCAGCTCTGGGATGGAGTATTTCAATACGGTAAGTTTTGGTCTCCAACTTTAGTGCTAAGAGGAGTAAAAGAGTGCCTGTTATTATACTTCTTGTTGATATAGTAAAAAATAAATCTCAGTACCGCCAGCTAACTGCCCTAGGACCCTAGCCAAACTTTACTCTCACCATATTTCAGTTTGTCAGGCACAGTTCTCCTTGTATTTTTTCCCCCCACTTTTAAAAAAATCTTAGTTGTTCTGATGACAGATGACTGCCCCCATAGACTGAAGAGGTTATGAGACATTATTAACAGATGATAGAATCCTTTTTGCTTTATATCACACTTAAATCCCAAATACTTTCACACTGCTTAGATGGTTTAGTACTAGAAATGTTACATGGCTGCCTTTGGGAAATTTTACTTTTTTTTATCCCAAAATGTCACAAGCTTTAAAGTTGGAAAAAGTAAGCTTGTGCAGTGAGTATAATAGGACTTGTTCCAGAGGTACGATCCACAATCTAAACATAATAGTTATTTGGAAAAAACATCACTGTTTAAGAAAGAACCCCATATTTACCTTACTGAACCACGCTTTACTTCCCAACACAATGTCTGTCTTTTGTGAGATGAACCAGTAAGTTCCCGGAGAGTCCTTGGTACCAGTTACGCAGCATGGAGATGTCAAATGCTATGAACCTACACTTGATGTTGAATGAAGAGATTTGTGGCATATTCTAAATCTAAGAAACAGTATCACAAGAGAAAATTTTATTAGACTCATGCATGCATTAATTGGGAGCCAAATATCTCACATGAAGCATTGTCAGTAGTTCAACCATTGTATTTTCTCATTTATCTTTTTTTCTGTAGTATGGAGGAAATCCAGTGTCATCTGCTGTTGGCTTGGCCGTGCTAGATGTGATTGAAAATGAAGATCTCCAAGGAAATGCCACTAGAGTAGGGAATTACCTTATTGAGTTACTAAAGAAACAGAAGGCTAAACACACTTTAATAGGCGATATCAGGTATGTTTGTCATGAAGTTATGTCATTATTCATTTTCCCAAATGAAGATAGTTTGTTTTGTCTTATTGGTTTAAAAGAAATGACACTAAAAGTCAATCTAAGAACCACCAAAAATCATAAACATAAACATTCTTAAGAAGCCGGATAAAAGCTCTGTTAATACTGGGTCTCCTGACAATTTATGGGTTTTTTATCTTTTTTAAATAAACTGGCATCATTTTAGCATCCAGAAGTTGAAAGTAACTTAAAATAACTCCAAATGACCTCTCAAAAATAATCTTAAATGATATACGGTGAATCTCAGTATTTTTCACACAAACATAGATAGCCATCTATCAGCATGAATATTCTGAGAAGCTAAATAGCATGGAAAAGTTACTATTTAGCTTTTTTCCTAATGAAGGGGAAAGACTGGATGACAAATGCCAATTTGTTTCAGATACCAGAAAGAGTTGTGAGCTTGTAGTGTTATCTTAGACTCAGTAGAAATTACTCTTGAGGGAATCACTCTCATCTTCCAGCTAAACCAAAGTTCGAGGACATTGTTCATTATTTGTGACAGTGTGGTGTTTATTGACTGTTTCAAGTTACCTTTCCGTATACTCCTCAGGGGCTTTGGCCTATTCGTCGGGATTGACTTAGTAAAGGACCCTCAGAAAAGGACCCCTGCCACAGCGGAAGCTCAGCATGTCATCTACAAGTAAGTGAACCCTGACACCCTGCCTGTATGGTTTCCTGGCTCTGGACGGCCCCCCACTTAAAAGCCGCTTTTACTCCCTCCGTCCTCCAAATAAGGGAAGTTTAAGAACTCGTACAATTTACGAATGTGGGTTTCAGAATGTGACCTGCCCTTTGTCATCATCATTCTTAAATAATCCTAGTTCCCGTTTGTGCTCAAGTAGATTTCCTGTGTGAAATGTTTTTAATCGGTACGTGTCTATAAATAGCCTTCATTTTGTGTAAGCCCTCTCAATATCTAGACAGGATCTGCCCACTTCACGAGTCACTCAGTAAAAGTCCACTAGATCTCTAAAATTCTTCGTTTTGCTTTCACAGGATGAAGGAAAGTGGAGTGCTGCTCAGTGCTGATGGACCTTACAGGAACGTGCTTAAAATAAAGCCCCCCCTGTGCTTCACTGAAGAAGATGCAGTGTTCATGGTGGAGCATCTGGACAGGATTCTGACGGGTCAGTCCACTGGACTTTCTGAAGCCCCCTTACCCATGCCCGCCTTGCTTCTCTCCCCCACCCTGGCCTGGCCACGTGTAACCATGCCTACTCACGGCACAGGTGGACGAAGGGGAAATGAAATGTAATTTTGTGCTGGCAACTACCAAACAGATGGCTGGAAAGTAGCTTTGTGGATTCGTAGTTAACTCCAGGTTTGGTTGGCACTCGTATCACTTCAGATATTCTACCATTTATTTTCACTTTCTGCTAGCGAGGGTATTTAAAACCCATCCCATTTGCTCTGTACTCACAGGGACCACCGATACAGAAGTTGTAGGCTGCAGGTTAACATTTAACTTGCTGTGTGCTGAGTAGTTTGACTTTGTGCATGCACTTCACTTATCAAAGTTTAATGTTTGAGGACTTCTACTGGTCATTCAGAATTGTAGCCTGTAGTAGGAGTTCAGTTTGTGTGTACCCATGTTACATAAGTGACTTACTTTTGTGCTATGACTAGAACTTTTGTGCTATGACTTGTAAATTAGTATTGTAGAATAATGCTGAAAAACATAAAGCACTATGGGCTGTTAGCTCATTTTTGTTGCTGCTTTAGTTCTGTTTCTAGATTCAACTTCTTTCCGCCTTTTGAGGTTAGGACAGGCTAGAGGAGATGGGACAGACCCAGGGTTCATACTCCTGAGAGAACAGGGGTTGGTGGAGCGTAGCGGATAAGTTCAGTGATACAGTCACTGAGTCTGGACTCTGGGAGCGCTGCTCACGTGCCTGCCTGTCCTCTTGCAGACCAGCTGGGGAAAAGGACAGGTCGGACAAGCCTGTTACTATTGGTGTAGAGTCATTTCAGTGCTTGAATGTTATTGAAGGTGGGCCAGAGACTTTCTTTTGAATACAGAGAATTAGGTGTGTTGCTCCTTGTGAATGGTAACCATTGTTGGGGTGCAGAGGAAATTCCCCACCCCTCTGGGTACTTCTGATGTTAATGATGACATCAGTAACAATGCTAGCGAGAGGGCTGAGATCGTAAAAATTATGCAGGAAAGAAAAGATGGTGTTGAGTGTTATAGATGTTGCCTCTGCTTAAAGATCGGCTCCTCTGATTAAAGGCCCACGTGTGGTGGAGATCCTAGATCTGGATAGTAGGCATTCCTTAAGGGTCGTAGTGGCTGTTTCCCTGAAGCCCAGGGCCTTACTAACCCTAGTTCCACACACAAAGGCGTGTACATCCTGGAAAAAGCCTGTCTGAGCATTTTGGGCAGTTCTACATAATGAAATGCTAGAATAAAGTTTAAAAGCACCAATTTTAATATTTGTACTTCTAAATTAAGGATCTATTCTTCATTAAGGATCTTCCTATAAAGCCTCCAAAGATTTATCTTTGAAACTTTTGTGTTTATTGTCTTTGTTATCTCTTCCTTGGTGTAGGTTTAGAAGAAGCCATTGGAGGCAAAGCTGAAAGTGTGATCTCAGAGAATACTCGATGCAGAACAAAGGTAAGGATCTGCTACTTGATTTTTAGGGGAAAAACTAAAAAAACTTCGCATAGTGTATAAAAAATACTTGCAAATTAATTTAAAATGTACAAGGGGCTTTAAAATAAAATAGCCTATGTTAGGATTGTCTGGCAGGTGCAGTTTTGAGTGCCATACTCTTAGTAAGGAAGAAAGCCAAAGAACCATGTTCTGGGGACCACTGCTATGCCACACAAGTCCCTTGGACCTGCAAAGAGGGTCTTTATAATAGAGACAGAAATGATAACAAAAGCCCAAACTACTTTCTGTTGTCTGCAAGTGGATTGATAGTGCCCGGGGTTCCCACACAGCACTCTAAAGTCAGCAGGAGCATTGGCAGCATGGTCCTGGAGGGAGCTGAAGTAAAGCCGGCTCTTGGACTTGGCATATTCTGGTTAGCAGAGGGATGAGAGGTTGGGAGAGCAGGGGATATATTGTCATAGAAGGTTGTTGGAAGGTGAGTGAAGCATGTGCAGATGTGGAAGGATAAGCTTGTACTCCCACAGTCACACGGACATGCAAATGACGGACAATAAACCGCTTGCAGTGGCTGATGGAGCCTGGGAACCTTTGGCACCCTGTGGCCTAGATTCTGCATTTGATGTGCTTCCAGCCAGGGCCTTTCCATTCTCTCCCTGAACTGCCCAGGGTGTGAGAAAGAGCTCCCAGGTCTCAACAGAAAGGCAAAAACTCGAGCAGCTTTGTTGCATAATTTGTTGTTTGTTTACGCCTTTGACGCATAAAGGAACACTCAGTGCTGAGAGACACCCGCGCAGTCAGCAAAGTCCCCTTTCTGACATAAAAACACTTGGTCAGTTGGAATGAGAGCAAATGATTTGCTAACAGGACTGCTTCTGTCTGTGTGAACAATACAAACCAATTCTAGAAATCAGTTCTTTTGTAGAAGGGGTGGGTGTGCAGGGGGAGGGGGGTCTCATGGTCTGTGGTGGACTGGTGTACCTTGGTGTGGTGTGGGTGCATCCAGTGAGGAGCTGGGAGCCTGTCTCCCTAGATCATGTGTGGTGTTTCAAGCCAGCATCCCTTCCATTAGAAAATTCATCTAGAGAGCTGTACAAGCTATCACTCCACACCTGCTAGAATAGCTGGCGTCAAGGAGACAGCAGGTGTCTGTAAGGCTGAAGGGGAGCTGCTGCACTGCTGGTGGTGAATTAATTCAGCCACTACAGGCAATGATCCGAGGTTCCTAAAAAAGAGAGGAATAAAGGAGGAAGAAAAAGAAAAGAAAGAAGTGAGGAGTGACTTCTGAAGTCTAGGACTCTATCACAGCTGTAAGATCTGAGCAAGCACCAGAGAGGAGTTTACCAAAAAGGGCCACTCCACTTGGGAACTGGGAGAAGTCACGCTTTTGGGCTGGCATTCTGTTCACAGGCCTGCTGAGGGAGGAGCAGCCAGTGCTGTGGCCTTGGGGTTTCTGGTCCGCAGAGCCAGCCTGCAGGTGGGTGGGGAGAAGCCCATGGCCCTCTGGATCTGTGCCCTGTCTTGCAGCTGCCCAATGAAGCCCACTCGGAACTGCTCAGTGATGGCTCCAGGGACCCCAAAGAAAGTTCCAGCCGGAAGAGAAATGGATTATGTGCAGATAAACATTCACTGCTCAACAAGAGGCTCAAGATCTGAGATCTTAGCTTTTTTCGAGCAAGCCAAGTCTCCAGAGTCCCTGAGCACAAATGCCGTGTCCCCTCTGACTCCCCCTGTGGCACCAGGAAAAGTAGAGTCTGCATTCCATGGAGGTGTTCCATGGCAAGGTGAATGATTGACTCGGATAAACCAAGTGATGATCAAACCACGCCAAGATGGTTGATTCAGCCTCTAGCCTGTTAATTCTTTACTGAGATGTCTGAATGTGTGAAATTAATTGTGCTAAATTTAAGCTTCAAATTAAGTTGGCAGCTTTACTTCTCGTGTTTAATGTTTGAAATGAGAGAACAAAGTTCAGTAGGTTCCTTACTCTGGAGCCTTAGTGCCTTAAAAGATGAAATCTGTAGTGACTTAATTTATAACTATATTTATGAACTATAACAAATAAAAGATAGAAGCCAAAAAACTTTACTATGTAAATCTGTACCCCTCTTTTGCAGAGCATACTAAGGATTTCTGTGGTAAAATCAAAGCCGCTTGAAACCATCACTTACAGGCAGGTTTGCAGGTACATGAATGAGTCAGACTGCAGGTGGAGAACTAGATTATCACCACTCTCTTGGGAAAGGGGGCTTTGAAGGGGGATAGGGGCAGACACTATACCTGAAATACGCAAAGTTGTACCTGGAGCAGAAACAGAAGCAAAGTGCAGTGTGGGTAGTCAGGGTACTCAGCTCTTGTCTCCTCACCACCAGCTAGGCTAGCCATTGTTGGATAAGAAACTTTCAAATAATCACCTTCCTCTTACCATCAAGTTCTATCATCTATGGACACCTCCACAAACATACACTTGTAACTGTGTCAGGGAGAGAGGGCCAATTTCCCTCTGTCTGGGTTCTTCTAGACTGGCAAAAAATCAAATCACCATCAGACAAATTGACAAGAGAAGAATACGCAAAAAAGAATTTATCACAAGTATACCTCCTATCTATGTGAGAGAGGCTGGTGAAATTTCGTGACCTTCCCCCTTCCCCCAACTTAAATCGACTCTTTAAATAACTTGAGCTGCAGACAAAGGGTGTGGAGTGGGGAGTTGCAGGAAAGGTGCCTCAGGAGGGTATGCCTGCTGCCTGCTCCACGGAGGGGTTTAGCCCTACAAAGGGAGCGAGCTTTTCCTTTCCCCTGTAGCTGTCTCCTGTAAGAGGGTGCCCTCCACCCAGTTCTCAGAGCCACTTCTAGGGGTGGCAGCTTTTGCACCCCTCCACCAGACATAAGCAAAAGGGACCTTAGGAACCTGGTGTCACAAACATCCCCTTGGGCCTAATGTGCCCACAGAGAAAATGGCTGTGTCCCGTTGACTCCCCAGTATCTCTTCTGCTCTCCAAACAAGAAATTGAGAGTGCTGAGGGGAGACAGGGGTGAAAGAACTAAAGAACTAATTTTTCTATGTTACATGTGACTGACAGGGATTTGCACAGAGAAATTAACAGGTAAAAGTTGCCTTTCTGAGTCTGTCAAAAGGGCTGTGAAAATGCAAGGTCTCATTAGTAAATACATTGTCCTCCTGAGAGGCTGTATCAGTGGCTCCTGGCTGGACGATGCTGAGCTTGTGTCCCAGGAGCTGGCAAAGAGGAAAGGGAATAGAGGCTTCTGGGTTTGCCGTGGGGAACAAGGCAATGAGGGAAGCAGAGCTTTCACAGGGAGGAGGCTGTGCTGGCACTCGTGACCAGGCCCATCACTGCCACAGCTCCCGGGGAGACCCTACCGTGCTGAAATGGGGCAGAGTCCCAAGAGCGCATGCTTTTGGTTCCCACAACCTACACTGATGTGCAGAAGAACAGCTTCTCAGTGCTCACTGCTCTGTCTTCCTGAGGGAAGACTTAGTCACTGCAAATCTGAGGAGAGCAAGCACCTGCCATCCCAAAATATGTCTTCTTGGCTTAAGATTCATTTATGGAGGGACCCTGAAGGCTGTGTGGAGCTTGCTATTTTTTTAAAAAGTACATTTACATGCAAACCTCCCCCAAAAGAATGTCTCCTGGGATGATCTGATGTTCTTATCTCTTTTCTAGGAGAAGGCTGACCTGAAATCTGCATTCCTTTGGCTAACATATTTCCCCATAACCTCCCTAACTGAACTTTCCTTTCTCCACCCCATCCCAGTGGTCCCCCTCTTGGTTATTTAAGATGGCTTTGGGTGATTTACCTAGTTATGCTAGGTCTCTCCCTTGTCAGCAGGAGATAGCCACATAACTAAACTCTTATATGACTGTTTCTCTTATCTGTCTGATGTATGTTTGATTATTTGTCAGCCTGAAAGAACCTAGAAGGCTTCTAGATGAAATACTTATACCCCGACAGGCACAACTGATACTCATCATCTCCCTCCTCCACTGTAGAAATGCCACTCACCCTAAGCTATCACTTCCAGGTGTTCTGGTAGTGATATGACTCAAATCCTCATTCCTAAGGCATGTGAGACTCCAGAAGCCATGCCCTCCTCAGGCCTTGTGATCCACGTTACAATTAAGCAAGGGACACCAACAGACGCCCCCACAAAGAGTGTCACCCAAGCCTCACCCATAGTCCTGCCTCCCCTACCTCAGGAGAGAGCTCCACTCACTCCTGCTAATCAAGCTCAATGAGCCCTGCCAAGATGGCCATACCACAGCTGCTCCCTGAACACAAGGACTCCAAGGTGGCCAGTGCAACTAGGACATCCAGTTTGTCCCTTGGCAAAAAGTGCATCCTGCAGAGCCCAAAGTGGGAGTGATGGGAAGAATAAAATTCCACTGAGTCATTAAGTCATAAAGGACCATCACCTTCACCCCTTGAATTCAGGCTCCTACTGCAGACACTTAGAAGATCTTGAGTCAGTGCAGATACTGTATTATGAAGTGATTGAACCAAGTGTTCCCCCATCTTTAGAGGTGAAGCTGGGATTGGGACTGAGGTAACTTGGAATGAGCCAGTGCTTTTTCTTCCATACCCTTTAAAATTGTTGAGGTCAGAAGCATAAAAGAATAATCAACTAGCAAGAGAAATAACTGGGACTACATTCAACTAAAAAAACTTTTGCACAGAGAAAGATACTGTCAATGAAACATACTGAATGGGGGAAAATATTTACATATCATTCATGTGACAGAGGGCTAATAGCCAAGATCTACAAAGAACTCATACAACCCACAAAAGGGAAATAAAGAGCCTTATTAAAAAAAATGGACAGAACAGCTAAATAAGTACTTCTCTAAAGAAGACGTACAGATGGCCAATAGACAGGTGAAAAAATAATCATCACTTATCAGGGATACAGATCAGAACACAATGAGGTACATCTCATGCTTGTGAGAATGGCCCATATCAACAAGACTACAGAATTGGTGAGGATGTGGAGAAAGGAACTCTTGTATTTGTAGAAATGTAGACTGATCCAAGCCCTGTAGAAAACAACATGGGGATTTCTCAAAACATTAAGAATAGATCTCTGTGTGATTCAGCAATTATATTACTAGGTTTCTACTCCAAGAATAGAAAAACAGTAATTCAAAAGGATGTATGTGCTCCTGCAGCATGATTTGCAATAGACAAGCTAAATGGCCAAGGAAAGAGGTGTAGATTAAGAAGATGTGCTATATATGTGATGGAATATTACTGAGCTGTAAAAAAGATGAGCTCGTGCCATTTACAACAAGATGGACAGAAATGGAGGAATGTTGTTAAGTGACCTAAGTCAGGAGAAAGACAAATACTAGATGGTTTTACTTCTATATGGAATATATACAAACAAAGGATCAGGCACAACCAAACCAATTATAAACCCTAGAAACCTGAGTGTGCATTGGGGCTACAAGACAGGAAAGGGGAGAAAGGCGTGTGGACTGTGGAGGAGGACTGTAGTGCCTCACTGATGGGAGTGAGCATTGACATCTGAATCACATCCAGTGCTGTGAAACAATGTCTACTCAATGTTTTTAAATGTAGAACAGAACAATAAAAATGATAATTAATATGCGTGGTTGAATTGCGACACCTTACCTCCATCTTCCCTTTCTGAATACTCATCCTGCCTCACATAGATTGTGGCACATTTCATACAGTCAAATCCCTGTGAAAAATTCATGTGAATAAAAATATAAGTATATTTTTATATGTATATGGAAAGCAGAACCACTAGGATATACATATACCTAATGATTAACTTATCTAGATAAAAATTAGATAGATGTAAAATACAGATATACTAGTGGTTCTGCTATTTTTTTGCACATCCTGATTCGTGGTACAGAGTATGTTATCTTGTCATAAAGGAGTTGATCTGAAAACTCATAACAGAATAACAGGAAAATCCCCAAATACTAGGAAATTTAACAACATAGTTTTAAATTAAGGCTTGAGGGCCCTCCTTGGTGGCACAAGGGTTATTAAAGTGCAACACTCTGAAGCTATCCATAACCACTGTAGCATGAGTTCATACCCCAGCCAGGGACGTGACCCACATGGTATAGCAGACCTCTCCTGACCCCCCGCTGCTCCCCTCAGCAGTGCACATAGATCTGCCTGTTCTGCTCCCCATTCTGTCTCTGGTGAATCCTCTCCCCCCTGCACCTCTGTCTATACCCCAGTTCTATATGCATAAGTAAATAAATCTTTTTTTAAAAAAATTAAGGCTTGAAGACATTTCAAAGGGCATGAGAAATGTAAGTGCTGGACATTGTTGGGAGGCAAAGGGAATCATCCTGCACCCCTCTGAGTTTCCCTGGGCAGGTAATTAATCCAGCAGGCATCACAGGGGTTGAGAAAGGAACAAGCCAGAAAGAAGTGTAGTGGTGACAGTGCCCCCTCTTGTGCATATGGGAAGAATCCAGCAGGACTCAGTAATTGCCCAAGAGGCTTTGACCACTGTCTTTAATGGATTGGGGCAGTTGGGGGAAGAATGGGAATGTTGTGAGGCAGATTTATCTGGAAAGGCTTGTTAGACAAAAGGCAAGCAGATTTACTGTGAGCCTCCTTCAGGGAAAAAAGTTAAGATTAGGTCTGCCTGGGAGATATTAGAGGGAGAAGTTTACAGATAAATATAAAAATCCACTTCCATCCAGCCTTAAGAAGCCCTCTCAGGAAGTAACCATCTTGCCCCAGAGACTTATTTTGGAGTAGCAGATTTTGGTCCCTGGAACACCAAGTAGGCCAACTTTGCTTCTCCGCCCTGGCTCCCTCCACCCACTGACTTGCTGCCTTCAAGTGCCCTCAGCAGTCACATCCTAGGCCATGACAGAGGTCAGCGGTAGAATGGGGATGGGGACCAGTGTCCCCAGTCATGATTTGCATGTCCTCTTCTAAACCCTCAGCTAGGAGTTATCACCCAAACCCCTCTCCATCCTAAAACTGCTCCCCGCTGGTGTGTAAAGCCTGGAGTTGTGTGTAGTGGGAGTGCTTGGCTATATTTGTGCTA